ACTGAAAAAAAAAAAATAAAATATATATACACACACACACACACACATACACACAATATATAATAACAATATAAAATAACAATATATAATATATAACAATACATAATATATAATATATAATATAATATATAATACATAATATATAATATAATATATAATATATAATATAATATATAATATAATATATAATATAATATATAATATAATATATAATATATAACAATATATAATATATAATATATAATATAATATATAATATAATATATAATATAATATATAATATATAACAATATATAATATAAAATAAAGTATGAAATGTAGTATGTACATTTCAAATTTCATTGAACAGCCTTAAACTCGATTATAATAACGAATAGAAAAATTTAATGATACTCTTGAGCCAGCAACTAATTAACTGATTACGCTTGATTTCAACAACATCTTTTATTTTTTCTGGAAATATAAGAACAAAAGACATAATAATAATCTTAAATCAGAAATTAATATTTTCGTGCTGGATAATGCCTTTTAACTCACTTTTTAATATTTATTAAAAATTTTCAATAACTTGTTTTTTCTTTATTTAAAAATGATGTATTTGATAATTGTTTTACTTACTTTGTCGCTCTTTCTCTCACGGGTGGAGAATGATTCGATGCTATTTTCCGGACAGGTGGCAAATCGATTAATTGATCCGTACCGCCCATGATAGCGTTAGCGCCCACGCGTTTCCCCGTTCGCCAGCGTTGAATCAACCATTTCATCCTGTGTATACTGACTATTACAAATACAGCAATTCTGAAACGCACTTTCCTATTGCGACGCAATCGTGTGTAAGATAATTGATCTTGAGTTAATTGTGCGAGCACGCACAGAGTATTTTCTTCGCAATACTGATAACTGCCGACGACGCATAGCAAATACTTCTTCTGATACGCCAATGCTTTTCGTCTGCTTTCTACTCGTAGATACTTGCCATAAAAGTTTTGTAACTGAAACGCAAAATTCATACATTATTACTACCTACTTTAAGTCTGCCTACTTAAGTCATAACTATAATCAATCTCTATATATAGATTGCTATAAAAAAATATAAAAAAATATAAAAATGATGTTAATATTAATAATTTCTTTTAATTTCAAGATGTGAGAAAATTGGATAAATTTTTAGTTATAATTAAATTAAAATAATTAAACAGGATTGTATACCCTTTCGATAGGAACTGTCTGTTGGTTTGAAGCCTGTGTGGTTTTCTGTTTTTTCAACTGTCCCTCAAGTAATTTCACGCGTTGCGTTAATAATTCTCTATCTACTTTCATCTTATTGAGTTTTTCTTCAAGATTATTCTTTTCAGCAGCGTTTTTTATAACTGTTTCATTTAGTTCCTTAATTTTCTGCATGAAATTTGCAGGGACATCCTTGGCATTTTCAATTAAATCACTGAGTCTCTTCTCTTTTTCTTTTGAGATCGCTAGTCTAGTATTGAGCTCGGTCTCCTGTTCTTTCAAGAACTCCACTGCGCGTATAAGTTCCAGCTCCCGATTCGAGGATTCCTTCAATTCTTGTTTCGCGCGATTTATGTCACTTTCTAGCTTTAGCCTGACTTCTCTGGCGATATTGATCTCCTTACGCAATTCTTTAATTTCAGCCGACTCGACGTCTCGTTTGTCTTGCTTTTTGTTTTCGACTTCGGTCAACATTTTCAGCTGCTTTTGTAGATAATTGCAATCCTCTTCTTGCACTTTTAACTCTTCTGTAGTTCTCCGCAAATTCACTTCCAAGATTTCTTTCAAACCATTAGATAATGCCAAGCTGCTGATTAATCTTTCCCGTTCTTCTGTCGCAATCTCCAACTGTTTCTCGTATTTGCTCATTTCGTTCTCTAATCTTCTTATATTTTCTTGCAGTTCCGCGTTATGTTCGCGACTTTCTTCAAGATTTTTGTTCGTTCTTAAATAAAAAAGAAAAGATTAGAACACAAAATATCGCTTGTGATATAGTCTAAATTTTTCATAACTATCTTATTTCATTATAATTAAATTTTATTGATATCAAGTCATATTGATTATCAAGTTTGCTAAAAAAACTTATAAATTATTATAAAATTATATATAAAATATTATATAAAACTAAAGAATAGGAAAAGTTAAAAATTAGTGCATACTTTTCGGATTCATTCTGTGCTGTTGTAGCAAAATTGGGCAAATTTCTATTGGTATTTTCAATTTCTATCAGTTGCCTCATAGACGTTAATTGCGAGTCCAGGTTAATTTGTTGTTGCCTCATCGATGCTAAATCATTACGAAGCTTCTCCTCGTTTTCCAGAGAGGCTTTTAGTTTTGTCTGTAGGAACTCGATCAATTCAGTATCTTGAACTCGTCCCATCTCTGCCATCCGTCGATGTTCCTCTATCTGTACTCTGAAAAACTTCACCGCATTCCTCTCTGCTGTTAGTTCCTTGTCTAATTTAATCGCTTTCTTTGTTTCCTCCGTTAAATCTGTTTTTAATTGCAATATACGATCTTCGTACTCGGCGATCCGATGTCTCATTATGTCTCGCTCGACTTCCAAGTCATCCTTTAGTCTTCTTAGCATCTCGTTGTCTTTGCGCACTGCATTTATTCTCTCCTCTGTTATTACTCCATCCACAACCTCACCGTCGTCCTTAATTACCTGCATAATTTGCTTATCCAATCGTGCGGAGAGATTTAATTCTCGTTGGACCATGTCCTCGATGTCACTATCATCCTGCGAGCGTCGCATAGGAGCATCTTTTAGCTCCAAATCCTTCTGTAGCCTCTGCACTGTATCCCTCAGCTCCTCATTCAGTCTACGCTCCTCCTTCAATTTTTTTCTTAGCTCTATGACATTACCTGATTCCTTCATCTTGTTTTGAATAGTTTCTAGTGCTCGATGTAGACTCTTGCTGTCATCGCTCATCTGCCTGATTACTTTATCTTTCTCCTTCAGGAACTCTTGCAGGTGATGGATTTCTTGGTCTTTATTGCTAGAGGACGATGGCGACGATGTGCCTGATTGAATATCGCTCGACCGCCTTGCCATCTCCTCCAACTTACGAATAACCTGATCTCGATTGTTCAGACCGTCTGTCAATCGTAGGATTTCGTCCTGCAACTCGGCGATTTCTCGTTCGCGTGCGTGAACCTTCGTTTTGAAGTCATACAGCTGCTTGTTCTCGTTCTCGATCTCGATATTGCGTGTTTGAAGAGTCTCCAATGCGATATCTTTATTTAAAACAAGCTCCTTGAATCTCTGAAGTTCTTGTGTCGTTTCCTGCAGCAAGGAATTGCTTCTTTTCATCTGATCTTTCTCTCTAATTTCGATCTCTTTCTTTAGTTTTGTGTTTTCCGCGTTCAATTCCGTAATGATTCTTTCGTTCACCTGTATCTTGTCCTTATGATCTTCGAGCTCGTCCGTCTTCAGTTTGAGAATATTTTCTACTTCTTCTAGATCCTTCTTTATCTTACTTTCTGATGCCTGAGCTAGCTCGTATTGACCTCTATAGAAATTCTTATCTCGCACCAAATTTTCGATAGTTTCCTTAAACTCGTCTTGCAAATCTTGATATTGTTTTTGCAAGGTAATCAATTCGGTCTCATACTTATTCAAGAGATTAGATTTTAAATCTAACTCTTGTTGTAAAGCTTGCAACTGATTCGACAAGTTTTCGATTTCTTTCGTTTTCTCATTGAGTAATTCCTCAACTCGTTGAGAATCCTCGCTAATCGCATCATTGTTTTTGGGGGATGATAATTTTGACTCGTCTCCAGAACGTTGCAACTCTACTTCCGAATGACGGATATTTCCGTTACTGTAGCTATGTGTATGAGAACCTAAATCTAACGGTGGTACTTGAGTGTCTACTTTATCCATATCCAGTAAAGGCGTTTCCAAAGCATTGAAACTATTCGTATTCGTATTCGTATTCGTGTTCTTTGATATAGACGTAGGAATTTTGAAACTAGAGACATTGTGTGATGTCGCATGCGTTGCGTTAGGTCCTCGGATAGCTTCAGGGAATTCTTCACACTCCGAATGGATAGAAAGAATATCGCTCAATGTTCGCGCGCTATTCTTGGTCTCTGCTTGTTTCATTAATTCCTTCAGCTGTATGTCGTCCAAAGCAAGCGACGAAAAAGCATTCAATTGTTTCTCCTTTTTGGAGAGTTGTTCTTTCAAATGATCAATTTCCTCATTTTTATCGGCCAGCATAGTGTCAATCAGTTGCGGTAATTCTAGCTGAGCCTGTTCCTGCGTTCCAAGCTTCATTTGCAGTATCTTCTTTTCCTCCTGAACAAGCTTCAACTGATCTTTCAATCGTTCGATTTTTTGCAGCGCGCCATTTTCCGATTGCACAAAATTTTCCATCTCCGCTTCTTTCTCTGCCAATATTTGATTAGCCCGATCAAGTTGGGCTTTCAGCTCTTTTAACTCTATTTCTTTATCGGTAATAGTTTGTTCCAAAGAATGATACTTCGCCATAGCTTCATGCAATTGTAACTCTAAACGAGATGTCGCTTGTTTTTGAGCAAATGGCGCGCTCTGTTTGTGCTGTTCCAAGCGACCACGCATCGCCTCGATTTGGAACAATTGCTCGGATGCTGTCTGGTGCAAGATTTCCTGTTCCGCTAATAATTCCTCGTTTTGATTTTTCATCATTGTCAACTGCATCTCCAAATCTTTGATCCTCTTGAAGGCTACTTCTTCCGCACGTGCGTGCTTCAGCATCTTGTCCTTCAGCTTGAGCACTTGATCCAGTGGTAGCATTGGCGGTGAGGATGGATCATCCGGGGTCGGACATCTTGTTGCATCAATTTGTTCTCTGATTGAAACGTCTTCGCTCGGCTGACTTAAACTTAGATTGGAACCGCACATGTGCGCAGATTCCATCTCCCGAATTCTCTTATCTAATTGATTTTGCATCTCGTGCAATTCCGTTTTTATCTGCTTCAAGACAGACGAATTAACATTGAAGTGCTCCGAACTTAATTTATGTCTACTTAATTCCTCCTAAAAACACAAAAGAATTATTCCGTAATGAGTTTCACTCCATAAATTATTTATTGTTATTACTTATTATGTATATATATATATATATATATATATATATTTATATTTAGACTTACTTGTAAAATGGCCAATCTGCTCGTTCAGATGTCTATTCTCACTACCAGATTTAATAGCATCCAACTCCTGAACTAGCTCTTGTTGATTTTTTGTCTGCGCAGTTATTACGGTTTCCAACTGACTAATTTGCATTTGTAGGGATTCTTCTTGTTTAATCTTAGTTTGCAGTTGTTGTTCTAAATCAGCAATGATCTCTCGCAAAACCCATATTTTATCCACTGCAGCCTTCAATTCGCTCTCCTTCTCTGACTTTTTCGCCTCGGTGTCGGACATTAATGACGACATCTCTCTCATCTGAGATTCAAGAGCCTCCACCTAAATCACAAGTTACATGCATATATGTATATATGTACAAGTTATCAACGCATCACTTTTACAGGATGTCACCTATATTTCCAATCAAGCGTGACCCAACATGTAAAGCATGAGGAGACATGATACATATTGTATCTACTTGTAATAATTTTAAGCAAATGTACAGTGGGTAAGAAATAAAAAAAGATGTGTACCTAATTAACAACAAAAATAATTATTAATAAATAAAAATTATTTAAAAAAAGATGAAAAATAAATAAAAAATATAACTGTATCTATAAGTAGTCTGAACTTTTAATTATCATATTTAAGCATTTTTATTTATTATTTAACAAATCTGCAAGCATTTAAATGCATTTTCTTAGTCACGTTGCAAATGTAGGTAAATAAATGAATTGTAACATATTATTAAATTTGACAAATAATATGTTAGCAAATAAGATGGGTATTTTTCTCACCCACTGTATAACGACGAAAGAATTATAGAAAAATTCGTTTAAAAAAATCGAAGTAAATACAACACTCACAGCTGCATTGATGTCAGTCGTTTGAAGCTCAGGGATGTCTGAAGTTGTTTCGCATGATAGCTCAGACTGCTTTGTGCGACAAACAGAAAACCAAAACCAGAGTGCAAAAAAACTTGTGTTAATACAATTAGTAATGATGCGTGATACTAATTGCTGGTGTACAATTAATTTCCGAAACAATAACCCTTTTAAAATTGGTAGTTAAATTTATATTCTATATTATACTATTTTCAATCATTTTTAGATTAAAGAACTTGCTGGTTAAAGATTGTATTCTAAAGAATACAAATTATAGTATTATAGAATTGTAAATTTATAGGCGTTTATATTTAACATTTTCAGTAAATTAACAAATTTTTTCTTCAAAATAACTATTATTATCTTTTACCAGCAGTTTCAAATTTATGTTAAATATTGTATTAAATAAACCACAGAAACCTTTAGTTTTGTAGATGGCAGTCATTATGCCAGATAAATAATCTTGTTAGTGCAGTAATTATTATAATAAATTAATATCTGTATTAAGTTAATTAATCCTTAATTAATTATAAATAAAATTATCGCATGTTTTTTAAATTCAGATTTCTAAGATCTTCTGATAACTATTGTTAATATTTTGAAATCAATTCACTATATTTATCTTTAAAACTTTTCCAATGATGATAATATATATCGCAAATAAGTTTGACATATTTAAAAAATTTTGTTCGATATAAATATCTTGGATTAATTGGCATTAACTAATTAAGAATTAACTGAGAATAATAAACCCTAAAGCTGACCACAGCGAGTGATTACGAAAAGCATATTGTGTTGTACTCAACAAAAAATCTTTTTGCAATATTTAAAAACAAAAAATAAAATATTCAACGAGAGTTTTTACCTCGGAAGTAATACGCATATCTCTTTCTTTTTCGCGTTCGCGTTCCTTGAGCTGTTCCTGCAAGAAGCGAATTTGTTTCGCGGCTTCATCACGCTCCATCTCGCGCTCACTGGCTTGCTCGTCCAGAAATCGACGCGTTGCCCGTAACTGCTTGTCCGCTGCCTCAATCTAAACAAACGTAACTTCAGTTAGAGGTAATTATCGTATCCCACGCGTGCTAACGCATATAATAAAAATAACTTGAAACAATAACTTGAAATAGAATAATTCATTAAATTTATATCATTTCAATCAATTTACATTATAATAGTCAGTTTTATATATATATATATATATATATATATATATATATATATATAATAAAAAA